GCCCCTTATGAGCAACAAAGGTTTGATGAAGAAAGAAATTGGCTCTGGAAGAGATTATTACAATATGAACCTAAAGAACAAATTCATGGGTTATCTACAGAAGAACTACTTCAAAGTTTAGTGAATCATGAGTGGAGCATGCCTATGGCTCCACCTAACCCTAAAGGTCAGGCATACGGAGGCCGAACGCCCCCTATCTCCCCAATATCAATAGAAGATCATGCTGACTTGGTAGCACATTTACAAACAGACGACTGCGGGAGACCCACTGTTTATGTGGAATTTGATCGGAGAGCGTTCGGACAGAATATGTTAATAGATATGGGTGCCACATTTTCTTTAGTAAGTACAAAGAATAAAAGTGTATTTGAACCTCCTGTAATGTCAGGAAGCTACAAGGATTTACTGAAGCAACGAGTAAGGTACTGTTTAGTGCTCCAGTTCACTTTCAATTAGGAACAAAACAAGGAAGGGAACAGTTTGGCTTGATGAATTTGGATGGTGATGGAATAATTGGTGTTGATATACTAAGGAAGCTTAGAGTAACAGTAGATTTAGTAAATAAGGTGATATGGGAGATACCTTTTGATAGAATTATAACTATAGATCAACCAATTGTAATTGAAGCAGGGTATAGGTTAGCTACTATTAAAGCAGCAGAAGAAATAAAATGGCCTGATTGGCCAGCAGAAGTTTTACAAATTGCACAAAAGCATAAAGAGGTCTGGGCTACTAATAAGGCAGAATGTGGAAAAATTGAAGCAGAGGCAAGGATTAATGGGCCTGATCCCCCATTGCAAAGACAATATCAATATCCTAAAGAAGCGGAACCTAGTTTAATGAAGACTATTCAAGGACTTCTGGAGTAGGTTCTTATAGTAAAACAACAGAGCATAAATAATGCTTCTATTTGACCAGTTCTAACAGCAGATGGTAAAACTTGGAGGTTAACTATTGATCTTAGACCCCTCAATAAAGTAACGCCAATGACTGCTCCCATAATAGCAAAGTATCCTGAAGTAATTGCTTCCATTATGGGAGGAGCACGGTGGTTTACCGTCCTGGATCTCGCAAATGCGTTCTTTGCCTTCTGGTATAAATTTGCATTTACGTTTCAGGGATGAGAGTTCTGTTTCACTAGAAATCCCCAGGGTTTTCATAACTCACCAGCTGTTTGTCATATGCATGTGAATAAAATGTGGGATAAAATGCCTAATAAGGATAACATCATATCCTATGTAGATGATATCCTTATCAGTACAAAAACTAAGGAAGAGAATTGAGAAATATTAGATCAAGAATTACAAAATCTGAGGGAAACAGGGTTCAAGGTTTGTCCAGAAAAATCTCAAATATGCTAGCAACAAGTGAATTACCTAGGAGTAACATTAGGACAGAAAGGATGAACACCAGATAAACGAAGGATAGAATTATTGCAAAAGTTACCAGCCCCAACAGATGTGTCTATTTTAAGGTCATTCTTGGGGATAACTAATTTCTCAAGAGATTTTATAGAAAACTATGCAGAAAAAGCTAGCCCATTGTAACACTTGTTAAGGAAAGGTAAGAAATGGGAATGGGGATTGGAAGAGCAGGAAGCGTTCACTCATCTTAGAAAGGCATTAGCACAAGCCCCAGCCTTGGCATATCCAAAAGAAGGACAGCCTTTTGTATTACAATTGGCTACTACAAACATTTGAATAAGTGCTATCTTAAGCCAAGACCATGGTACAGGTCTTTGACCTGTACTGTATGCTTCAAAGACTCTAGATGGAGTAGAACAAGGATTTATTCCTTATGAAAAAGAGGTATTGGCGTTAGTTTGGGCTTTGCAACATTGGGAATATCTAGTAGGACAATCCCCAGTGCTTTTGAAAACATCCCATTCACCTCTAAAATACATGCTGACAGGGAAAATTAATGATGGGCATGTTTCCAATCCCAGGTTAACAAAATGGACACTAGCTTTGTTAAATAAAAATATAGCCATGGAAAAGATTCCAAGTCTATCTCCAGTCTCTGATGGTCTGCTAATAGAAGCAGAACAACATGAATGTTCTTTATCAGAAATTCCCCCTGAAGCACCTATATTATCAGAGAATATCAGACGAGAAGTTTTTTAAGGGTCAATGTTTGCCACATTCAGTGCAAGCTGCCAAAATTGTAGCAGTAATAGTGGTACTGGAGAACATGCAAAGAGATGAAGCTGATTCTGACTGGGTACTGAGAGCTGTACAGTAACTCCTCATTTAACGTTGTAGTTAAGTTCCTGAAAAATGCGACTTTAAGCGAAACGATGTTAAGTGAATCCAATTTCTCCATAAGAATGCATGTAAATGAGGGGGTTAGGTTCCAGGGAATTTTTTTTTCTCCAGACAAAAGACTATATTATATATATATATACACACACAGTATAAGTTTTAAGCAAACAATTTAATACTGGTACACAGTGATGATGATTGTGACGCTTGGTTGAGGTGGAGGAGTCAGAGGGTGGGATATTTCCCTTACTGCTAAATGATGAACTAGCAATTGGCTGAGCCCTCAAGGGTTAACTCTTTCACTCTACAAGGCAGCAGGAATGGAGGGAGTATGTGTGAGAGAGAGAGAGAGAGATGCGCATTTCCCCTTTAAGTACACTGCCTTGTTAATTAGATCCTGAGCCCTGGTGTGTTCCCCCTGCTCTATGGAAGATGGGGTAAGCGAGGTGCAGGGGGGAGGGGGACACCCTGACATTAGCCTCCCTCTTCCTTCCCTCCCCCCCACATAGCAAGCAGGAGTCTCGGGGAGCAGCTCCAAGGCAGAGGGCAGGAGCAGCACATGGCAGTGGGGGGAGGGACAGCTGAACTGCAGGCAGCTGCTGCACAGGGAACTTAGGGGAGCAGGGAGCTGATAGGGGGAGCTGATAGGGGGGCTGCCGGGCCACCCTAGTTCCAAGCCCCCACCAGCTAGCTGCAACGGACTGCTCTTCCTTCAAGCAGTAGACAAAGCAGGCGACTGCCAAACGACGTTAGAAGAGAGCATTGCACAACTTTAAACGAGCATGTTCCCAAATTGATCAGCAACGTAACAACGAAACAATGTTAACCAGGATGACTTTAAGTGAGGAGTTACTGTAATAGATTGGATACCTCAATGGGAGAAGAGGGGTATAAAATCAGGAATGGTAAACCTATTAGTCATGCTGAAAAGTTAACTTATTTATGGGGATTAGCACAACAAAGAAAAGACAGTTACCTTTTCCGTAACTAGTGGTCTTCGAGATGTGTTGCTCATGTCTATTCCACAGCACGCACACCTACTGTGTATTCCACAGTAGGTGTGCGTGCTCGCCATGTACACCGGTGCCGGAAGTTTTTCCTCTATCAGTGCAATTCCAGAAATAAGTGCAAAACTTCAGAATAATAAAAGTCTTAATGGGACCTATAAGGGCTATAAATGTTATTGCACAAAATCACTCAGGCAAAACGCTTATTGCAGACAATATTTGTAAGTGTTTTATTATATTTGCCCCTCTAAGCAAGGAAACCTTAGGTTCCCATGACCACCCCTCATCAGAGTCAACAAAATGTGAATGGGTAGCTATAGAAGGAAAAGGTGCAATACGGGGAAAGACAGTAAGAACCGGACAATGGCTATGTGCACTAATAGACAAGTTTGAAATACTCGCTTGTTAGGATAGTCTCTTGGTAGCCCCAGAAAGGATAATAGTATCCCTTTTGTAATTAAAATACCAACAAATAGCATCCAGGCAAAAGAAGGGAAAAATAATATTACTATGATGTGCGAATGGTCCTCGGATATAGATAAGAAGAAATGGAGTTTAGTACATCAAACCAAAATATTAAATATGAAAGAGGGTCATACTCAATGGATAAACCCACCTATTCCATGGGATAAAGGGAAAATTATCCAAATTTCTGTAATATTAAGTGGACAAAAATGTCAATGGATTTGGGTAAACAAGGGAGAAACATGGGCACATATAATCGATATGTCATTGACACAGCAAAATAAGACAATTATAAATGATGGCCAAGGGAAAGGTAAATCTATGCTATGGTACATAGGAGGAGGGATTTGTGTATGAAATTACACTGGAATAAATAACTGTGCACAAATTTTAGGGAAAAGCCCTTCATGTGCTTTCATAGCATGGTATGCCCCCAAATGGACAAAAGATAAAGAATTATTATTAAAATAGGCTCACAACAATGCTAAAATGAAGGATACTTTATTTAATGTCATTGATCCCCAAGGAGGAGTCAGTAGAGTAAGCACTCAATGTGAAACACGAGCAAAAGTAGTATTTAGGAATCAATTGAGTCTGCAAGCACCTTGGTATAGACCAGGGATCGGCAATCTTTGCCTACGGCCTGCCAGGGCCAGGCCACTTTGTTTACCTGCCGCGTCCACAGGTTCGGCTGATCGCAGCTCCCACTGGCCGTGGTTTGCTGTCCGAGGCCAATGGGGGCGGTGGGAAGCGGCGGCCAGCACATCCCTCAGCCCGTGCCGCTTCCTGCAGCCCCCATTGGCCTGGAGCGGCAAACCGTGGCCAGTGGGAGCCGCGATCGGCCGAACCTGCGGACGCGGCAGGTAAGGAAAGCAGCCTGGCCTGCCAGGGTGCTTACCTTGGCGGGCTGCGGGCTGCAGGTTGCCAATCTCTGGTATAGAAAAATAATAGGGGGTAGTGAATGTAAGGGAAATGGTACAAGCCAAGTTTTATTTGTCTATTGGGATGAAGGTAGTGTAATTAAAACAAAAAGACGTGGAAATGGAACATGGAGAATTACTGGCCCTCAGATCAATTATACTTTTACTATTCTATGGATATCCAAACCTAAACCAATTAACATTGGTCCTTATATAGTAAGAGAGGATGTTAAAACACAATTAATAATAGACCCCACTTATTTCCTGAAAAAGGTAATAATAGATTTAGCCTCTATGAACATTTCATCCATATAGCCACAATGTATTAAATACACTGAATCTGTTTGTGGGATGGAAAAAATGGACAGAAATCCAACTTTTATTAAAAGCCACCACTAATAGAAAAAAAGAAGCTTAATAGATACAGCTTTAGGAAGAGCAGGTACAGAACTCGGAGTGTTGAATAGCATAGATGCAGAAGTATTGGCTAATAAATTAAATGCAGTAGGACAACACTTGGGAGCTTTGTCAAAACATCTACATAAGCACTCGCCATCACCTAATAGCGAGTTTATTCCCTGGCTCAGAAAAATTACAAAAGGCTGATTATTTAGCCATACTACATATCGTAGAGGTATTACAAAGCAATGTATCCATGACACTGGCTTGCATACAAGCACAGACTTGGACTAATGATGTGGTGAAAGACATAATAAGAGATGGGATGAGAGGAATTTTACCTTTAAAAATAAGAAGTATAATGTGGAAATATGCCACTAGGGTGGAATAAAAGATATATTCCTGGTGGAAAATGATAAATTTCACATATAATCCTCAAATGAATCAAATTACTACATACAGTCATAATGTCCAATGCCCAAATAGAATGGATATCTCCTATTGTAATGCTAGGGTTAAATATTAATAATAGTATAATGCAACCAATAGAACAAACACTATAGGCCACAAGGCAAAACCGTACATGGAAAACTGTGGAACTTGAGGCCTGTATGGAAGAATGTGGAATTGGATATATTTGTAATAGTGATAAACATACATCATATGGCTGGATTGTAAGTGACTAACTGGGAAAATGCCATTATCAGCTAGATCTTTTCCCATTTAATGGATCCTTCGTTATATATATTGGAAATAAATGTGTATGTGTTAGAAGATGTTGTAAATTGTTTAAGTTAATCATGTATTCAATGTAACTCATAACCGTTATGAAAACAAATGTTGTTGTAATATCACCTCGATGATTGGTTGGAATTTCAAATTCATGCTACCTGAAATTGGTAATGAGGAAATTAGGGATCAGTATCAGATATATAAAAAGGTTGATCCAATACCTTGGAAATAAATATAAGTTTAGTTAAGCAATTAATGGATCATCCTGACTTACAAAGACAACAACAAAGGGCTCAGGAAAATGCACAAAAGGCTATGATTACTCTTCACCACTCTCTAAGAAAACTGAGCACACTATAGAGTGTATAAAAAGTGATACCAAAAATAACAGGTGGAAAGTGTTCTTGGGATGGTCTCCTAGAGCAACAGGATTCTTTAATACAATTTTACAGCCTGTTGTGATAGTATTAGCATTTCAGATTATGATGGCATTTATACTTATTATCCTGGTGTGCTGGGTCAAACAAAATTTTAAGCAGCTAAAGCATGTATAGTCCACAAGCCTTAAAAGAAACTATAATGGCACACAGGAAAGTGTGACCCTAGTGAGAATCAAGGATGGTGAGGAATTGTGCCAGTAAGAAGAGGTATCTGCTCGGTCTGACAGGAGAGCCTTGAGCCCATACTGGACAAGACCAAACATCCACTGAACTCACTATTTAAACAAGTGGTGGGTTGATAAATAAGTATATCACCCACCAAGGAGGGGACTGATACAAGAGGCTTTTAGTTGCTCTATGCTGTGTAAAAAAATTAGCAGCACCATGGAGAGGTGTCAGCCGTGCAGCTGTCAATATGCAAAGAAGAGAAAAAACACTGTAAAATTCACCTCCCCCAATTAGCATAACAAAAGTGGTGACAATATCATAATGCCTAAACATGAATAAAAAAATGTAGTTAGCTAAAGATTTAAGGCTTTTTGATAAGTAATAAATAGTGATAGGTTAGAGCAGGTTTCCAAAATGGCAGCTGCAACGATTTTACATTAGAAAAATTAAAATGGAGGACTCAGGCTGAATTGACCAATAGCAGACAGGTAACTGGGGTGAAATTAAGTTCAGCAGGGTGAGATTAAGGGATGGGTCAGTCAGGTAAGAAGGAGATTCTCAGCCAGGTCTGGCTCAAATGACAGGTAAAGCTGATTGGCTGAATAGTTATCACCCCATAAAGAGGAACTATGCTAATTACTAGTATTGAGAGAGAGCAACCAATCAGAAAAGATCAAAAATAGTATACAAGGCAGAGAGATGACAGGCTTCAGGGTAGGTGTGTGGGTGAGCAGGAGAGCGGAGGAGAAGACAGCAGCAGACTGAATATCACTGAAATCCTTGACCGAGCACAGAAGGACCATAGACGGTGCAGAGGGATTTTAGAAAGAAAGTAAGTATAATTCCTTCTTAATGATAAGGAATGCATGGGACTGATTGTAAATAAAACTGAATGTCTGTGTCTGAATGGATTTTACCCCACCATTCTATGATTGCCTGATCAGAACTCATAGAATGTTATTTAGTAATGTCCTTTAATGTGTAATATTGTAATGCAGTTTTATACATATGTAAAAGAGTTCTGTATGTTACATTGTAATAAGTTTGGTATTATATTGTAGCATTGCATTAAGGCTTTATACATATGCATAAAGGGTCTATGTGTATTGTATTGTGCAACATTGTATCAGCTATATAGTTTATGTAGTCTGTCGTGTCGCCTCCCTATATGATTTCTAAATGCAATGCAACTGTACTATGTTCTGGGTTATGTTTCACAATGCATTCTTTCTTGATTATTAAATGTATTGTAACTGAATATTTCCTTTACATAAATGTTACTTTGTTTTTGAAGAATTACTGCTTTAGCGTCAATCCTTTGAGCGGAAGCCTGTATCCGGGTCCTCTCATGGTTTGACAGAACTAGTCTGTCCTGAGCAGACCTCTGAGGGGCAAAGACAAACTCCCTGGTAAAACCTGGGCAATTCCTCTAGGGCAGGCCACCTCCTGTTACCCATTAACACAGGCTAAATTGACAATTTGTTTACAGTTATAGGCAGGCCATTATTGGGTGCCTCAGGTCCACATTTTGGAGTAACATGTGAACGTAGGAATAAGTGTCCTATTTCAGTGCTCTTATTCCAAAATAAGAGTGTCCACATGCAGACTTGCACTGAAATAACAAAAGAAGTAAATTACAATAGATTTAGTTATTATGGTGTACATTTGTGTAGATGAGCCCTTAAAATAAACCCACTGCTTCACAGGAAACTAGTGGAGATGAGTGTGTAGAAGAAATCACAGAAATGTAGATCAGGAAGGAACCTTGAGAGCGCATCTAGTCCAGTCCTCTGAGCTGAGGGAGGGCCATGTATACCTATACCAGCGATACTCAGACCTCAGTTGTTCATGAGCCAAATTAGCAATCAGTATTACCCAAAAGAGCCACAGTAGTGTGAATTCATAGTTTCATTTACTATTTATAGTGTCAGTGTCTATTTCCTTTATATTCACACTTCTATTCCTATGGCCTTTCTGAATTCAGAGTTTTGTGGTTCCAAAATATCATAATAAACCCTACTTTTATCCAAGTTCTCTCTGAGGTAGAGCAGGTCTTCTATAGAGTACTCATCGTGCCTTCCTGTCCAAACAGTCAGGCTGTACCTGTATTAACAGAGTTATTAAAAATCCATATTTTTATCTTAGTACAACGCATGAGACACATAGAAAGGCTTCTAAAATAATTAGGACTCTGGTATCTTAATTTCAGATACAACTACATATACAAAACTAAAGGATGTTAAGGTTGGAAAGTCAAGCAATCAAAAGTTAGGAAATAACAGAATTAAGGTTGCCTGGGCACTATTAATTCAGCATCCTTGTGCCTGTGTATTATGATACAGTATTTAATTACATGATCACATACACCTCTTGGGAGCCAAAAAATCTTACCGCGTTATATCGAACTTGCTTTGATCCGCCAGAGCGCTGCTTTACCGCCTTATATCCGAATTCATGTTATATCGGGGTAGAGGTGTACTATTTTTTCCCACCGGATCATAAGATAGATGATGCTCAATGGTATCTATTCAATATTTCTTTTTGTTCTCACCATTCTATCCCTCTCCAATGCTAAACAATTCACTTAAACCAAACGCTTCATAGGTAGTCACTGATTGTGTTCCTGCAGTTTCTGGATGTTCATCTTGAGATATCTGGGGCCGTATTTGCCATAGTGCTGAATACTCATTGGAACAACTGAAGTCAATTGGAGCTATGCACTAAAATATAAAGTACTGCAAAATGCTAAGTATCAGGGGGTAGCCGTGTTAGTCTGTATCTACAAAAACAACAAGGAGTCTGGTGGCACCTTAAAGACTAACAGATTTATTTGGGCATAAGCTTTCGTGAGTAAAAACCTCACTTCTTCGGATGCATAGGT